GGTTAGTTAAACCAGTGTCATGTAGAAGTTCAAATCCTGGGTATTGAAAGGTAGGAAGTTAGGTAACAGCCAAGCATCTCGCCAGCAAGCTGTACCCTGACATAAGTGGGGCATCAGAGCAGGTAGGGTGCCACCCAGGGCGCTGGTGCTGAGTGAAGTGACAGCACTTTCGCCCACCCCAGACTGAGTCACCTGCACCTGTAGCCTTCATAGGCCTGCTTTAGAGGGGCCCAGCAAAAGCTTACACTGAAGGCTATGGGTCCCAAACCAGTTTATAACCTACTCCTACCTTTTCTTTTTCTGTTAAAACAACCTGTCAGTGGAAATAAGCGTGAGCTAAAAAATCAATAACGCATGCTGGGAACTGCAGACCAGCTAAAACATCACAGAGGCTGAGGCTGGATAAGAAAAGTAGGTCATTGATCTGGAATCCTTCAATTTACATTGGGTGGAATATCAGTACCATCAACTTCTCAGCTAAGTTTTTCTGATCCAGTGTCAGTGATTTGAATGCGGACAATACTATTACCTTCATAATTAAACTGAAAAATCTCACTTTAAAAGCAAAAGACACTTATGTGCCCAGGCATGCCAAACTTAGTCTTCCCCACTTTTCTTGCTTCCTTATTTTGTTCTCCCTCTCACATTTGGGGAGGCTCATCTATGTTTTGATTGAAGAGCAAGAATGCACATTTGTGCCCTCACATAACTACGGTATTTGGCATACAGCAATCTAATCATATAATATATGCTAACAGATTAGTCTGCTCCTCTAGTACCTCGCCAACAAGAAAGATATTTTAGGTAAAATTCAAGTTAACAACAAAAACATGATCTTTGTTTTGTTATGAAGGTAACTAGCTAGCAGACAATATTTCCTTAAGCAACCTTGGCTTTCCTTGGTTGTTTCAAAGCCCTTGAACACACATTATCATCTGTTTCTTGCAGCCTTGGTGTAAAAAGCTTTACTTGACACCGTTATAGGCAAATGAGCAAAGCTAAGCAATCTGCGGTTAGAGATTTCATTGCCAAAAAAATGCCTTAGGACATGCAGAGCGCCTGGGAGGTGATTTCCAGTTTAATGTTTACAATTAAAAAGGAGTAGTCCTAAAACGAAGTAAATACCTAAAGCGCAAAATTGTTAGGAGGATTTAACAATGAACTGGAAACAGTTCCACCTCGAACTTGTGCAAATTCAGAGAGGAGCAAGTGCGATGGCCCACAACTTACCATCCTCAAACCTCAGTGTTTCAGAATAGCAACATTTGGATCACAGCAAAGGAGAAATCAGGGGGATGAAAAACACTAAAGCCCTGGAGTGAATCATCATACAGTCAGCAAATCTTCACTCCCCGCCTTGCCCCACAACCTCTTAGGAGGGGTTTATTTCCTCGTGCTGAGGGTAGAGCTGGCCATGACTTGCCAGGACAGTGCACAGTCAGAGCACTGCGTGAGGGAAGGACTTGAAGCCTGCTTGTGTTAGTGGGCGTGTGGGCACCAGCCCGTTCAGGAGGATTTGAACTGGACCCAGCCCATAGCCCAGCGAGCCCTGCCTGCATCTGTTGAATCTCACTCAGCTGCAGACCTGTGAGTGGGAACTCAGTGCTTCTCTCTGTGTGGCATTGAGGCTGTGTGTGTGTGTGTGTGTGTGTGTGTGTGTGTGTGTGAGAGAGAGAGAGAGAGAGAGAGAGAGATGTGGCATTATTGTGGCAAATGTCGACTGAGACAAACATTAGAAAAGGCTGGGGATGCCAAGACATCCACATCCTGCTCAGAAGAGGATCTGCGTTGTCGTTTGTGCATGCAAGGTTAATAAAATACGACATAAAGTCTTTCAGCAACTTACATGCATATATTCTTTTTTCTGTAAACCAGAAAGAATCAGAAGGCAAATGTTCATGCAGTTTGTGCAGCCCAGAAAGAATAGACCATGCTGGGAAGTCAGATGCAGCTAGAAATGCTGAGGATAATTCAGATTCATGAGTTGAAGGAAGGGCAGACCCACAGTGCTAGGTAGCTTACTGAAGAATTTAATTCACACACATAAAGTGAGCCTTTGACTAGTTAACTCAGATGCCCAATTATGCACTTCATTTATTCTTTCAAAAACATCTGAGTACTCATTAGGAATGAAGCACTCAAAATGGTTAAGACTTATCTCCATCGAACTAGAAGGTAAGTTGAGCCAGGTGTGCAAAGAACAGTGAGTTAAGACTAGACTCCTTGGTTTCCAGAGGAGGAGCCCTGCTCGGAGAAGAAAGATCACTTTTAATAAAGTTCTTTGGAAAAAGTGGAATTTTCTTGGCTCTTGAACAAAGGCCAAGGTGTTATTAATGTTGCTTTTTCAGGTTTGTTTTGTTTTGTTTGTGGTACTGGGGATCAAACTCAGAACCTTGCATTTGCAAGGCAGGTGCATTGCCACTGAGCTAAATCCCCAACCCTTAATGATGCTTTTTGAAGATCAGGATACTCTAGTAATATATATCCATTTTAGAATATTTTTAAACACCACAAAACAATCCCATAAAAGGATATTAAAGCAATCTGTATCCCTACCAAATGGACATAACCATTATTAATGTTACCATATTTTCTTCCATTATTTTCCTGTTTCAAAATAAAAAGTTATTAGACTTTTGCCTTTTTTTTTTCCTAAAGTCTCATGGAGTATTTTTCTTTATCACTGTAGATAAAACACACACAAAGGAACTTCCTTCCAGGGCAATTTTATAGACAGTTTCCTATTACTGTCCTTGCCCAGAACATAGCCAGTTCCCATGAGAAAAGTATCTTCTCCTTGCATCTTTGTTCGGGCCTCAGTCCCAGCATTAGAAACCGGCCCTTTGTAGGCTGATCTCTCTTTTTTGTCCTCCTACCTTCTCTCTTGGACAATTATGATCTTCAGTGTTCCGCTTGTATTCTAAGAGAACTGAAGTTTTCATCCACTTTGCTGATTCCATCTCCTCAACCTCAGCTCCGACCTTTACTAACTTCAGTTTGGATTTCAAATCTGTCATTGCTTTCATCTGGTCTGAATTCTGTTGGTTTTATATTTAGTTTCTGTACAATTGCTCCTCATTTAATCCATTTCTTCCTCTTTATTTCATCCCTGTCTTTTCCTGGAGGTAATGTCATCCTGAATTTCTAACCTACATGACAATCCTACAACCCAACTGGTGTCACCCGTCCATAACAAGTCTAAAACCTCCATTCTGCATGCTAGGAAGCCCAACATCCCTCCTAATTATTTCCATGAATTTTTGAAGGAATTCTATCTCTCCTGCTTATGATGGCTTCATTTTCCTGTTTCCATAGCATCCTGAATCCTCAGTCATCATCTTGTCTCTTGAACAGACTGTCGCTTCCCTAGGAAGCCTGGTCTTACAACCCCACCACCTGAACCTGTTCACACAAAGTGCGGCCACAAGTGCAGGGTATGGGGTGCACCACTGAAGTGTACACTGAGGGACGCAGAGGCTAACGTGCGAGTCCCAGCTCCAGAACACAAGTACCCGAACAGATGCATCCTCTCCAAGTCAGTAAATCAATTCAATGGGCTCTGAAGATGATGAGTCAGAAGCAAGTATGCTGCACCCCGTGACTCACCCTCAGGGAAAGAGAATCACACAGGGACCTGGTCCTGCGGGGCGGGGTGGAGCCCCCTTCTGAAATGCCTGCCCTGCCTTCATTTAGTATAAGTGGGAAGAGACTGATTTCCCGCTACTAAAGTTTGTTTCCCACTTTCTTTATGTATCCAATTCAAATGTGGGCCGTCTTCTTGTCATCTTCCTCGAGCTTTCACTCCAAAAAACAAAGCTAAGCTTAAAAGTCTTCTGATACAATCTAGAATTTGCTGTAGATTTCACTGACAAGAAATCAGAGGGCTTACACTGCATAGAAGAGGACAATCTGCTAGAGAAAAAAAACTGGTCAAATGAGTCTTTTCCCAAAACTCTCTTCTCAACTTCGCAGCTAAAACTTCTCTCCCTTCTCGCCCAAGCCCCACCTCTGGACCTATGCTCTAGAGCATCCAAGAGTGCTACAGAGAGTACCAGGTTAACTTTCATGCCTAATGTAGGCAATGCACTGAACTCAGATCCCTCAAGTCCTTCTCCTCAATGCGCCCTTCAGTCTTCTTCTCAAGAGCTTTATCAGGAAAGATCCAGAATTCTGCCACCCAACACACCAGTGCTGGGGTTTTCGGGTCATAGTTAACTAATGTTTTAAAAGCTGTATTAGTCACTGTCTTGGCACTGGGACGAAATACCCAACACCCGTAACTTAGGAGAGGTTTGTTTTGACTCACATTCCAGAGGACTCAGTCCATGGTAACGGCTCTAAGGCAGAATGAGTGTGGCAGGGGACATAATGGAGGAAAGCTGCTATACAGCCATGGCAGCCAAGAAGGAGTGAGAGAAAGGAGGAGCCAAAGACAAGAACACACCCTTCTATGCCGCAGGCCCAGTGACCTCTCCAACCAGGCCCCGCTTCCTAACAGGGCATTCAGCCATGAATTCACCAAGGGATTAACCCACTGGCCTGTAAAGGGCCCCCATGATCCAATCGTCTCTGAATACATGAAACTTTAGGGGGTCAAAAATGAAACAAAATAAAATGAAATCTGAGGTCATTGAATTAGGTGCCTCTCTTCCAACAATAATTATCATCCTCAGTCTGAGGAGACAAGAGCTTTCGTGACAGATGTGGGGTGAGAACAGAGGGCTGAGAGACAGTGTCACTCGACCGCCCCCCCCAGGTGGCACACAGTGGAGCCACAGAGAGGAGCAAGAACACATAGTTAGAAGAGGGAACCAGAAGCAGAAATGAGGGAGCACTGAGGACAAGCACTGTCCACTTCAAAACGTGACCTGGGTCAGCTTCTATTCCGTCCAGGTCTTTCCTCGTAAGACTGCACGCAGCCCGTCTGAACACTCAGGCCTCACAGCATCCCCAGCAGACAGCAACAATGCCGGGGAAGGAAGAAAACACAGAGAGCTCACCTTCTGGGTGAAGTCGCTGGCCTCGTTGATGTACCGGTCACGCTCCTTTTCCAGTTGGAAGATGATCTTCCTCTGCTTCTGAGCCTCCTCCTTATAGTTCTGGGTTTCTTCCTCCAGATTCCGCTTGGTTTGCTCGTGGAGCTTCACCAGGTCTATCTGCTTCTGGGTTGCATTAATGGCCTTAAGCATATTCTGAAAACAAGGACAGTAAAGCCATCATGTTATGCCCAGTGTCTGAGGATTTGGGTTTACTCAAAGTTTACCCCCTCTACCTTAGCCATAAAATAATCACATGCTCTCTCTTTTGTATAAATAAAAACAATAATATTCTCTACAGATTACTAAGAGTCTATTGTGCTAATTTTGCATAAGGCATTTTTAAAATTTTATTCATGTATTTATTATTTATTTTTTAGATAAGTCTTGCTACGCATCCAGGTTGGCCTTTAGCTCGGTATTTAGCCCAGGCTGGCCTTGAACTCACGGTCCTCCCACTTCAGCCTCCTTAGTGCTGGAATTACAGGCGGGTGCACTTTAAATGCACTTATAAATCCACTAAGCATCCACAGTGTCCCTGAGAGGTAGGCTGTGTATGCTCCCGTCGTAGGAGCAAGAAGCAGAGACTAAGGGGTTAAGCTGCTTCCCTACAAGTTCATGTAACAGCCTCTATCTGGTGAGGTCAGAACAACTGCAACTCCTCACCTAACTGGGGCCCTGACCACCAAGTAAGATAAAAATCAGTTTAGTAAAAATGCAGACACCTCGAATTATCATACAACCCAGTGATTTCACTCCTCTGGGCATACCTAGAAGAAGTGAAAGCCAAACCTTGAAAGCAAGTGCTCGTCTTAGCACTATTCACAAAAGCCTCAAAGTGCCCACCCGCTGATGAACACATCACCAAGACCAGTGCATCCACAGTGGAATGGAAAGGAGAAACAAAGGCCGTGATACGGGTGAGCGCCGCCAGCCTGGCTTAACCTGGAAACGCTGTCCTCACGGAAGACGCCGGGTACAGGAGGTGACACAAGGGATGCCCACCAATGTAACAACCAGAGCTGTCCCATCCACAGAAGCTGGAGAAGACTTAGTGGGTGCCCTGGGTAAGGCAGGGAGAAGAGAGGAGGGACTGCTGAAGGGGACAGGTTCCTTTTAGGGTGATGAGAGTGTTCTGGAGCCAATAAAGGCGAGAATGGCAAAGCATTATGAATGTACTGTTGCCACCAAAGAAGAGTTTTGAGATTTTTTAAAAAGTTAAACATTTTAAAAAGTTTAACCAAGTTATTTTTTAAGTGGGTACCACATCCCAAATCCACCCTTTTGGACTCAGTGGATCTGGCATGGTTGATGTCTGGTGCAAAATGAGCTTCAGGTTGGCCACCCAAGGCCTGGAACACAGCAGGAACAGCGGTGCAACCGGCAGCCGTGCTCAGCAGGGGCCCCGCTCACTGCCACAACTATGGCCCTCCCCACGTGTTACATATGTGCCCGTTTTCTGGAGTCACCCAGGGCCTCGTGCATACTAAGTGGCTCTCTGCCACTGCACCTTCAGCTCTCAGATTTTTGCAACGTGGAGAAGATGTGAACTTGGCAGCAGACAGTGATAACCACATTTCTGCCGGAGGGACAAGAAAACAGTCTCTGTTGTGCCCAGATCATGATGTCCCCAAAGACCACCAAGGAGTCAAGTCCAATGTAAATACACGAGGAGTTAATTACAAGCTCGAGCCTGGACTCTTGGACTTCACCGGTGCAGCGGTTCAGTGACAAGAGCCCTGAATCCGGTTTCAAACAGGCTCTTTTTTGGTAAATAGACCTTTATTGGTCTGGCCAGATGGCACTCCCGGAGCCAAGTAGCTCCAAGAGGCCCCAGCTCAGGGGTTTGAACAGTTTTTAAGGCAAGAGGGAGAGGAATGCAAGCACAGCAAGTGGACAAGGGGTCAGTTTTCTGCTATCTATCTCAGGGGGCTGGGTGTAGGGCGTGCCTGGTCTCTTACGTTGATCATCTCTAGACCTCAGGATGTTCTGTTCTGGCGAGGCCTTGAGTCACTATCTTGTTTACCCGTACCAGGCTCCCATACACTCTGTTTTGCATTGCTATATGCTGACTAACTAGGGGCTATACAGTGGTCAGGGTCCCATATTCCCCACTGGTTGTGCCTTTTCTAGACTAAGCAAATTCTTTCAGCCTAAGTTCACCCACGGATCAGACTCTACACAAGATGGTCTCCTTTTTCAAAATGGAGTAACTTTGGTCTCTACATCTTCACTGAGAGGGAAAAGACCAAACCTAACAGGAAGTCTGGTGGTGGAGAGCAAAGGCTTTCACCCTCCTTCCTGGGGCCTAGGTGCACGCTTATGTACAGTGAGGCGCCTTATTTTCCCTTCTGAAGTTTCTAACCAACTCATGCACATGCTGGCTCTGAAAGCTGCTGAACCAGCAGCAGGCAAGATGGCCGGGGAACACTGATTGGATGACGATGTATAAAACCAGCCTTATTTTCATTGGTTGGGTAAGCATTTGTCCTAGAACAAAGTCACCTCAAATGACACTGAAAGAATCACCACATATTCATGCTGCTGCCTATCAAAACCACACTTTCAATGAAGATGGTATTTCAAATTAGTGAGGAAATTTTTTTAAAATTAAGAAGTATATCCTTCCCTCAAGGAGGAAGTGATGTTAATTGAATCAAATAAACATAAAAGTACTATTGTACTACTTGTTCTTTTGTGGCAAAAAACTATTAGATGTTTGCTAGTATATAGCAAATATAAATTAATTAAATACTGAATATATTAAATATAAAAGTCTAAATACAATAGTATTGTTAAAATATACAAATTTATACAATAAAGCAACCACCCCAAGACTGGGGTGGATGGGAAGACTTCGGTAATTTTCAAAGGAATGCTAGCATGGAAAGAGGTGACCTCCTGCCATTTCCAGAGATTCTGTAAACAGTCACAGTCAAGCAAAAGTGCCCTCTAGTCCACAGGCCTGTCCTCCCTGGAGGAAGTCTCCGAGCAAGAAAGTTGGCTTTAAATCCTTGAAAGCAGTCGATCTAAGTGACAGTCGGGACTCCCGAGTCAGGAGGGTGAGAAGCGAGGGGCCCTGCCTGGAGCGGAGTGCTCCAGGGTCTTCACCCCTTCCTCCTCTCTAGTCCTCTAAGTATTCAGACACCTCAGAAAGGAGCCTCAGAGCAGAAGCCAAACCTGCAATCAACCCAACCAGAGAGGAGGAAAGGGGGTCAGACTTCATAACCCTAAGTTGCCATCTTGACACCTAACCCTTCAAAGTTAAAACTTAATTAGCATTGGGCTGGGGATTTAGTGGTTCCTCTGCCTGCCTTGAAGGCGCAAGGTCCCGAGTTCAATCCCCAAACCACCCCCCAAAAAAATTAAAACTTAATTAGCACTCACACTTGTAATTTTGGGATTAGCTGAAGTTGTAGATAACAGATACTAAATTCAAAAATTTTGATCAACTGCTGAGGACACCAAATAACACACAAGCGATTAAAACAGAATCCACAAAACACTCAGAAAGCCCCTTCTGGTTTATATGCTAATTCCCCAAAGTCCTTTTGTGCTTTCTGGTGATAATGCAGTTTCAAGTCAAGGCCAGCGAATGGTATAGGTTGTGAGCTGCTGCCTAGAGGAAAACCGAGCATTATTTATTCTAATCTACTCTTGCATACCGTGGGGTTTTCTTTCCCCACACAACTGGTGACAGGAAGGTATTATAGCACCAAAAGATACACATTTATTTACCAGCATTACTGTGAAAACTCACCTTATTTAGTATGTCCCTTTCTCTCAGAAGCTCATCCATCGCTTTCTTATCAAGTTCTGCTTGTTTCTTAGAAGTCTCCACCTCTAAATTACCAGGGGAAAAAAATAACAAATGTAGAGGTAATTCAAGGGAGAATCTGCAGAAGTCAAAGTTATATAAAAAAGAGCTTCATGTGTTTCTCTATAGCTATAAAACCACAATTAATTGAGAGATCTATGGTCCCCATTACAATTAAGTGAAGTGAATCATAGTTGTTTCACTAAACAGACAGAAACTGAGGCTTAGAGAGCTCGGTCCACCCAAGGAAAGGCTGCAGTCAGGAGGTCACAGGGTTAAGATTAAAAGTTTGGTTTCTCTGACTCCAAAAAGTTCTTGATCGTTTAAAATCTTTTTTTTTTAATTGCACAAGCAAGTAGAAATACAAAATAAAGTTAGAAAAACATTTTTTAAAAGGAGAAAAAAGAATTTAACCAGAATCCACTTGGGATTTAGATATATTTCTCTCCAGTTTTTTTTTTCTGTGCAAGTATATGTGTGTATGTAAGCATAAATAAATATACACACAGACACACCTGCCAAAAGAGGAATTATGCTGTGCATACACTGTTTTGTTGCTTGTTTTTATAATTAACAACCAAGAAATAAATGCCTTTCTGTAAGTGTACGGCTACACTGGAATTTTTAATAACTTCACAATGTTTAGCTACATGAAAATGTATAATTTATTTAGCCGATCCCTCATTTTAACATTTAAATTAACTCCGATACAGTAAATAAAAAAATAAATGGCTTCCAATTTTTATGTGTATGGCTATAAGCTATAATTTTATAATGTTCTTGTCCATTTGTTCCTCCAAAGAGGAAGTCCTGCTTTTTTAATGATATGGTCCTGCTACAGCCTAATTCCCCTCTAGAAAATTAGTGACAATTTAAATCCACACCAAAACCATCAGTAGGTTTTGTCATTTGCTTTGATGTTTTCCAGTCTGATGGATTTCTAAAAACCTGTAGTCAGAATCTAGATTGCATATCTTTGACTAGTAGTAAAGTTGTCTGCTTTAATACTTAATGACCATTTATTTGTATTTCTATTTTTCAAATTGCCCACATTTACTCTTTGTCAATTTTTCTCATGAATTGCTTATACGTTCTACATCCCTTTAAGGGAGACAGACAGGTAGACAGACAGTCAGACAGATAGACACATACATAGATACATAGATTAAAAACACTCTGACAGTGTTTTGGTCAATTTGCCTTTACAGTCTTAAGGTAAAAGAAAATGTTAATTTGTATTTCATTGATTCAATCTAGGATTTATTATCTGAATGTTTGGTGTTATTTATTCCCTCAAAAGTAGCTTTTTGTCATGCAGCCACTTTCAAAATAACCCATGCTGCATAACTGGTATGGGACAACACCTTAGCTTAGATGGTGACCTTGGCTTTCTTCTGGATTTTTCAGTCTTTTCTACTGATCTGTTTATTTGGATGTCATCACTGGAACCTTTACAACACATTTAAATGTCTGATGAGATTATCATTCCCTTGTGCATCATTTTCAAAATTTTACAGCTATTGCTAAATGTTTATTCTACTGGAAAAGCTCTAGATCAAGTTCTATACAACATAGCTTACTGAAATTTTTATTGAAAATACTAAATGTATAGATTAATTTGGACAGATTTGTATCTTCATCGTATTGAGTTTTATCAAGGAACTTGGAATATCTCCCCATTTTTCAAGTCTTCCTTTATTCCCCTCAATAGAATGCAGCAACTTTGTACATATATTTTGCAGATATATTGGTAACTTCATTCACAATATTTTATTGGCTTAATTGCTATTATGAATGGAAGTTTTTCCATCATCTAACTGATATTTGGGTGCAAAACAAGCCATTTATACATACATATTTATGTTATAATTTGCCACCCTACTGAAACCTTGCATTAGTTCAGGTAGTCTTCCAGTTCATTGCTTGTGGTAGGAAAATCATAACACAGGGAGGGCCTATGCTACTATTATACCCAATGCCACCCTTTGATCAGGGACAACTGGCTTGGTGACAGTTGCCTGTTGTCTCAGCCATTCGTGAGGTTGAGGTGGGAGGGTCACACTTCAGTCCAGGAGTATGAGACAGCCTGGACAATATAGTAAAATCTCAGCCCATAAATTAATTAATTAATTAATCCATCGACCTTAGCCAACAAGAGCAAGGCAGGAAGCATTATAATCCCAGACTTCAAGTTATACTACAAGATCACAGTAATAAGGGCAGCACTGTCCTGGCACAAAAACAGACATATTGACCAATGGAACAGAATAAAGGATGCAAAAACAACACCAAGCACTATCACCCATCTGATTTTTGACAAAGGGACCAATAACATAAGCTGGAGAAGAGAGAGCTCTTTAATCAATGGTGCTGGGAAAAGCGGAGATCCACATTCAGAAGAATGAATCTTGATCCGTATCTCTCATCCTGGACTAAAATCAAATCAAAGTGGGTCAAAGACCTGGATATAAACACAGAAACACTGAATTTACCGGAGGGAAAAATTGGCAAAACTTTCAGAACAGATCCTCAACTGGTCAAGCAATAATACTAATAATCAATAAATGGAACTATATCACATCTCCCGCACAGCAAAGGAAAGAGCCAGCAATGTGAAGACACAATCTACAGAACATAAAGTAAATTTTATTAATCAGCTACTCTTCAGACAGAAAGCCAATGTCTACAAATATATACTCAAGAAAATCAGGCCATCACAAATGAAGGACCCAGAAACTTGAAATTATCTCAGAAGAATAAATATAAATGGCCAAAAAGTGCATGAAAAAGAGTTCATCAGCTTTGGCCATCAAAGAAATGCAAATCAGAACAACACTGAGATTCCACCCCACTCCAGCGAGAAGGGCCATTATCCAGGACTCAAAAAAGAAGTGCTTGTGAGGCCCAAGGGAAAAAGAAACCCTTATACATCAGTGATAGCAATGTAAATTAGTAAAACTGCTTTGGAAATCAGTATGGTTATTTTTCAAAAACCTAAAAATAGTACTACCAATTGACCCAGTTATACTCTCCTGGCTATCTTCCTGAAAGAGCTAAAGTCATCATACTACAACAATAAACGCATCTCCATGCTTACAGCAACACAACCCACAATAGCTGAAATTGTAGAAGCAGCTTACATGTGCATCAACGGATGAATGGGTAAAGAAAATGTGGTATCTTTACACTGTGGAGCACTACTCGGCCATGAAGAAGGATAGATTTGAGTCCTTTGCAGGAAAATGGATAGGTCTTGAGAGTATAATATTAAGTGAAATAAGTCAGCCACAAAAGGCTAAATACCACACCTTTCTCTAACATGACAAACCCAAAATATAAATAATTTAAAGAGCCATGTTAAGAAATGGGGAAGCAGACTCTGTATAGATGAGAAGTGGAAATGAGGAAGGAGGGAAAGAGGACGGTGGGGGTGGCAGAGTCAAAATGATCAAGGCATGACATGTACGTGTATCAAACCCCCAAGCCAAATGGAATCGCTATGCAGCACAAACATGTCTAATTAAAAAATAAGATGGTCCCTGAGAAGAAATGACAATGCAAATAATATCTACAGCATGATGACCTTTGTAAATGTGACTTAAAGATGAAGAAATTGAGTTCAATGCTGAATGAATTTTTTAAAGAAAAATATTTGTTCTCAAGGCTTAGAAAAATTGCAAGCAGAACCATAGAAATTTGAATACGCGGGTGTTGTGTGGGCCACTCAGCTAGCGACATGTTCCAGTGGTTCCATTTCCTCCACGTCTGTCACTGAAGGCTTTAGGCTGTGTGACGGTCGGTTTCGACTGTCAGCTAGATTAGATTATGACTCCCAGGAGATCAGTAAAGCACGTTTGGGCGGGTCTGTGGGTGCGTCCAGAGATGACTGGCATGTCGGCCAGCAAATGGCCTACCCTGATAGTGGGTGGCATTGACCAATATGCTTGCGGCCCAGATGGGAAAAAGCGGGGAGAGAGCCAGGCTTGAAAGCACACCCTGTAATCCCAGCACTGGGGAGGCTAAGGCAGGAGGATCGCATCAAGTCCAAGTCCAGCCTGAACTACATATTAAGACCCAATTCCCAAAACACAGGCATGAAAGAAAGAGAAGGCGGACGCTGACCTACACTACCAAGCTGAATTCTACTTGCGTGGGGGGTACATGGAGATCAGACTCAGCTTCGGCAGGCTTTCTGCGTGGATTCGCAGCAGGGACGCTCCGGGTCATCAGCCCTGGGATGGCACCGTCTTCCTCCTTCTAGAGAAACCTCGCCAATACAACTGCGAGCTCACGCCAGGGTGTGAGCACCCCGAAGGCAGGGTCCCGCCTGCCTGTCCCACGCAGCCTGCATTCAATGCACTGAATGGATGGGCGGAGAAACTGCCAAGACAACCTGCAACTGCACCCCAGTAAAGGACTATTTCCTAATGCCTCGGACAGAAAAATATCTGTACTTCTTAAAGACTTCGATGGTAAATATTTCTAATAATCTTGCCTAGAGATTTCGATTCTACCCACTTACAGTGAGGCAGTATATGCTCTGTTGCTCGTGTGTGTTAATCTCACTCACTGATTTATAACTCACAGCAGCCTGCAAGAGGGCAATGGAACACAAGGGTCCTGGCCTCCTGTCATCAGCAGTCATCTACAGAGTCTCTGGCCCCCAGTCCCGGGCTAGTTCTACCACACCAAATTTGACCAGTATACCGTATTGCTAATTATATTCTTATTTAGAAAATAGCAGTGTATCCATATGATAATTCCTGACATTTAGTCCACAGCTGCTCTACTAGATGCCATCCGTAATACTGTCCCAGACCATATGAATGAGGAACATTCGCCTTAACCCATCCCTTTATCTTCCCTGGACAGCCCCAAGAGTTTACGTGTTATTCTCTCCTCTGACAAATTGCTGGGCATTTCAGGCTGGGTTTTACACTGAGCCAATGGAGCCCTTGAAAGAATTTGCTGAGGTACAGAGTTGAAGGCATTTAAACGGCATCCCCTCTGTGCTGTCCTACTGATTTCACTTGGCAGGGTGTGTTGTACGCACAGTCCTGGGGGGGCCGATGACACTGCTCACTAATGAGATGCGTCAAAGCTAGAAGAAAACATGGGACAAGATGGTTTACCTCTCTCTAATCCCAAGATCTGATTTTTTAGGGTTTCCTTGTGCTGCTCTGTCTCTGCCTTCTGATCTTCGATCTGATGCAGCTTCTTATGGATTTGCTCTCTAATTTTGTTGAGCTTCCCAATGTCAAGGCGCATTTGATGGATTTCCTCCTCTTTGGCCTGTAATCAGTAAGAGAGAATCAACTGCGGAGCCAAGTGAGCAAAGGGCCCAGAAGCGGACGATGATAAACTCAGAACCGATAAAAACAGTCTCCCAGTGTCAGTGTGCTGCAGGCCTGCAGGACTGGACCAAAACACACGCTGTTCGGTTTTGAGTGAAATGGGAAAGCTATGAATAATTGTATTCTCTGAATAAAATATGTGGCTATATAAATGGGAAAAAAATGAAAAATCTGATAAAATCTGATGTTTCAAGCGACCTTCTAAATGTGGAGTCAATGAGACGCAGAGACGGAGCTGTACATATTACAGATATGTGGGTTTTGTGCATACATGCTGTGATCAATTAGCAGTGTTCATGAACTTACAGAAAGTGATGTCTCTGGCAAGGTCCTTAGCATGTGAGAAAACACGTAAGCATCCTTGTAGACCACGGGGCCACCGCAGCCCTGTGACGCACACCTCCTTCCTGGGAGGGCTTCAGGCCGCGGATGCACAGGCAGCGGGGGGAACCTTACAGAACGGAGAAAGGGGCCAGGGAAGCCGTCCCAGCAAAGAAAGTCTCCGGATTTGTATCTACTGACTTCACGCTTTATGGGTTTTTTAAGTTAAACACACTTTTTAAAATTTTTGCCCCTAAAAATGACTGGAAAAGTAACAGAGGACTCATCTGCAGGCGATGCTTGGGGCCATCTCGGCTTCGACGAGGAAGACTGACACTAGCTGTGCAAGTTATCCTCAGCTTCCCTCTAGACGCCCAGGCCCCCTAGGTACAGGACCTGAGGACGAGTGTAGTTCATCTTTAAAAACGTCCCACTCGTGTTATCCAGGGAGCGAATCGACATTAAGTATTTTTCCTCTAATGTCACCTCAGAGCCAATATATTATTCTGACTTAAGCAATCACATCATTTCTGCTTTAAGGTATCAAAGTTTCATTTGCTTCCAAGTCAACCCACTCAGGGCTGCTCTAAATATCCCTCAGCCTCAGACCCTCAGACCCTAGAAGTTTCAAGATAGTTGATGGTAAGCCCCTTTTAATTCTAGGATGATCTAACTCAGCGGTTGTTAATCCAGATCTCTTGGTTAGATGTCAAAAAAATCCTACAAATCTCATATTTCTAGGAAGAATGCAAAGCAAGATGCAAGGTGTGTGCCAGGCGAGGTGGTACACACCTGTCATGCCAACACTGGAGAGGTTGAGGCAGGAGGATCACTGCCAGGCTCGAAGCCAGCCTGGGCTACATAGTGAGTTTAAAGCCAGCCAGCCTGAACTACATAGTGAGGGCCTGTTTCAAAATAGAAAAAAAAAAATACAAGATGTGCAAATAAGCATGTGTGAGTGCAAACGTGTATATGTGTGTGCATGCTTGTAACAGACTCTCAGAGACTGCAACACAAAAAACTGTTATGGCTTACTGCTCAAATCTATATATTTTTATGATAAGCTGCCCTTTTATGTCCAGTATTCCAACATAACCAAAGTAGGGAATATGAATTTTTCAGAATTAAAGTAATAAATATAAAGCTGCTCTGTTAACTACAAAAGCATACAAGTGTAATATGTATCTGCAAATAAAAGCTTATCCAAGCTTAACCTGCACACTAGATGGTAGCAGGATCTATAGTCCTAAGTATAAGTGCCCAATAGTCCCATCCTACCTTCTCCAGAGAGTAAAATACAGTCTCAATCCTTTGTTCCCCACATCCATAACTCTGGGAGATGGTCACTTGCAAGTCTAGTTACAGGGATGAACACCTGAGCTTGCTTTGGGAAGCACTGATACAGCCATATGATCAGTAATGAGGCTTGCTTGAGTTTTATAAGAAAGGACATTTTCAAACTGCTTCCGGGCATAAAGCAGCCACAAGAGGCTGGTGCCCGCCTCTGTGTACCAAGGCCCTCCGCAGAGCTACTCGGCTCATCCAACCCACTTTCCTGGCTCCGAGGAAGGAAGGGTAAGGGACAGACTCATCACTTGCTGCTTACTTTGAGCTCCAGCGCCTTCTGCTGGTTTTCCTGGGACAGCTGCTCACAAACTAAACTGTGCTGTTCATTCTCTTGCTGGAGTTTAGAATTTCTCATCTGGAACTGCTCGAGCTCCTTTGCAGCTCTCTCATTCAGAATCTGGAAGGTGTGGAATGGAGGAGTCCGTTAATACTTTCTAATCTGATTACAGTGTATGCACGCGAAGAAGGCGCAATGAGCCTCCCGGGAGATAACAGTAACCACACCTTTTTGTCTTTGTAGAAATTGTTCTTTAGCCCCAATGAAAGCTCTCACACACTCGAATGTGACAAATGTTAAATGACTGAGGATAATAATGCCTCCTGATGAATAACACAGAAAGCCTATTTTTTTTTCCTGAAAGCCTTGGGAAGTCTTGTTCACAGGTGGCGGATGAATATTTTAATTCCTGTTTGCCATTTGGCAGGCTTTGCATATGCAACAATTGCTATAATCATTGCAAACGAGCTCAGATTCAGATGGTTCTCTCAGCACTGGGGGTTGAAGCTGCATCTTCAGAAGCAAATCCAGCATTAATATCCCTGCTGCACTTTTGTGAACAGAAGTGCTCAACAGACCAGCCTGGAGACAATTCTCCTAGTCCAACTCCAGTCAGAACTGTGGGATGACGGCAGAGTGATTTATATCTGCCTGGCTTCTGAGTCAGCAGGATTTTCCTCTCCCCTGTTGCGACTATTCTGAGCAGGCGTGGAGTTATAAAAACTATGGATTATATCTAACATCTCAGGATATGGTTTCTTTTGGAGACATGGAGGTGTAGCAAGTGAGCTAAAGAAATTGGTTCCTAAAGAATAGGCACTTTCTTCAAGATGTAACTCCCATGCATGCAAAAACAATAACAACAAAAAAAAAACTGACCTGGAAAAAATACACCCAATTCCCAAAGAATAGGGACTAAACCAAATGTAACTGGCTTGCTAAAGGTTAAATTTTGTTTTACATGGGTTCTGGGTGCTGCTATACAAAGCACCGTGAATTTTTCCTAAGGTTCAAAAGCCTTCCTTTTAAATGTCATGTTCAAAGATGCCTGGGGTTTTTCTCCTAGAGACTGCATACTGTGCATTATCTATTTGAATTCTGGGTTTATATAACATTAATAAAGCAATTGACAAAGAATTGTATTCTAATACCTATTTTATGTAGAAGTGCTGTACGTCTTGACAATTTTTTTTACAAAGGGCTTCCTGAGAGAAAATACTTTTCAGAAAAAAATTTAATCATAGTAATTGCTTCTTAAGAAATAAGAAATGGGGCCCAGGTGTAGCTCAGGGGTAGAGCTCAGTGTGCGAGGCCCTGGGTTGGGTCCCCAGTGCCATGAAAGAAAAACACAAGGCGAGCGGGGGGGTTGGGCAAGGAACCAAAGAAAGAAAGGGGAAAGGGAAAGAAAGAAAAAGAAGAGACAGACAAGAATTACTAAAATTTGTGCTAAGCAACTATATGAGGTGGGTTGTTGAAAACATCACTTTAAAATGCGTGGTGACTGAAACTTGAAACTTAGGCGCAGCCTGCTGGGAGTGCACAGTGTCATCTCACAGTGCAATGCTGTGCAGCCGGCTGAGCTGTACTCCACAGAACTCGCAGTGGTTTAAGTGTCCTCTGTCTGCACCACCACAGTGACTGTTATCCACAGGGAGGTGCTGGGCACCAGAAATGACACTAGGGCTCCATGGGCATCAAGGTGAACTCTGACCTCACTTGCTACAATAGCTGTAAATAGTCACACGTGGCTCCATGGTGGCCATACAGGCTACTGTAGGCCTGTGACTCCATGCATGTTACCAACAGAACGTAGCAGGAGTAGGGCACCAAACAACACATCTACTGTATGTTTCATTCTGTGCAAGACTAATTAACGTCTGCTTACGATGCAGAACAGAGGGGGCCTTTGGGGATGGGAGGGGTGGCGAGGGGACACCCTGGGGTTGCTAGGATGCTGGCAATGCGGTTTTTTGGGCTGGGTACAGGTGACCAAGATGTGCCTGAGTGGTGATGTTCCTTGCGCTGCATGCCGTTGCATGCACACTTTTTAGTGATATGCCAACAAGACATTCATCGCCGGGTGTGGAGGCTCAAGCCTATAATTCTAGTGACTTGGGAGGCTGAAGCAGCAGAACCATGAGTTCAAGTCCAGCCTTGGTAATTGATCAAGACTCAAAATAAAAATAAAAAAAAAAACAAGGGGCTGGGATGTAGCTCAGTGTGAAGATCCTTGCTTTAATTCCCAGTAAGAAAATATTATAAAGATGGTGATGATGATAAACCTACTGGAGCTGCTGGGACTGGAGGGGAGGATGGGAGCTGGCGGAAGAATCAGTGGGAGGCCCACCGCTAGCCCATGCCGCCCAGGGAAGGGCCCTGTTGCTTCCTAAGAAAGCTCAAAAAGCCAAACGGGAGGGCGCCCAGGCAGCGCCCTCAGCCTCCCAGCTCACCTTCTGCTCCTTGAGCTGCTGCTCCAGCCGCTGCAGCTCCTCCTTGCTCTTCTGCACATACTGCTGCAGTGCCTTGATCTCCATCTGCCTCGTGTCCATGTCCGTCTGGATCTGCTTGAGCTCCTTCTCCAGTTTCTCCTTCTTCCGAGACTCCCGCGAAGCCTCATTCTGGCGATGCTGGATTTCCTGTTGGAACTGCGGGGCGGGCACACACGGGACATGGAGGAGAGGGGTGGCTGTCACCGGGTGGTCCCGCCCTCTCTCGGGCCTTCACTGCCAGGCAGTCACTGTGCGGTGACATTTGCTGCGGGACAGCCATGCTGGAACCCAAGCCTCTCAGAAATATTCCATGATGTTTTTCGGGGCCTTGTTCCCTGATGTTGCCCCTGATGGCCAACAGCAGATGACCAGAGGACGGTGTCAAATCAAACACAGAGTTCTGGGGTTAAATGCAGAAAGAGTCCATCCACTGCTGCACGGGCAGGACTAGAATGCGGCCAGCTGCCCTAGGCCCCAGTGGCATCTGACACACTCCTGGGTACACTACACAATGCCGCACTTTCCTGCGGACGTCTAGAGTGTACGAAAAGCCTGCTGCTCGCGTTCGAGTCTCCTGCCTTTCTCTCCAAGACTGCACACGAATTTTCTCATTTGACGCCAGCTTCATGCCCGGAAGGACTCAGCCAGATGGCTCCCCACAGAGGAGAAGGGCCCAGGGCAGCGGGCCACCAGGCCAGCGGCGGACCCTAGGCCCGCTTTTAGGACCCCAACTTAGGGACGAACTGTGAGCAGCAAGTGCTCACCTCGATGCCCTCTCAGAGCCTAGAGAAAGACAGCTCAGGAAAAGCTGCTGCTGGGCGAGCGAACCGAGAAGCGGGCAGAGCATGCTTGGCTTGGGCGCGGGAGAGGAGCGCGGGAAAGGGGACGGAAGGAAGGACAGGGCATCCTGCAAGGCCCGGCCGCTTCCTTCCCCCGCTGCCCTCACAGCCCACCTGACTGATGGTCTGCTCTGCCTCGTCCTTGGCGCGCTCGGTCTCCTGCTGCTGCTCCGTGGTCTGAGCTAAGGATTCTCGTAATTTCACTACCTCGGACAGGAGCTGATCTCGCTCCTTAGTCACCTCTTCTTTGAACTTCAGTAAATCTCGGATGCTGAAAAGCAAGAGCACAGGTGTCAGGCTGAATGGCCATCTGCTCAGGGGTGTTCTCTCTCTCTCCCTCTCTCCCTC